CAGACATAGTTCAAAACTAAGATGGCTTGATGCCGAGTGAAGTTCCCAGGGAAGGAGCTTGGCAACACCACTCTCGCTGCTCAGGGTGCCTACTGCCTCTTTAATGGCTAACTGCAAAACAAACACTGAATGCTAGTTTTGCTTTTCACCTTTTTTAATTGAAAATGAAAATGCTCTTTGGATTTCTCTTGGTTAGCAAAAACTCGTACTAATGTAGGTCTTTAGCAAAAGTGAAGTGCTGTAAAGCAAACCTTTGAAAAGCAAGGAATACCCATATGAGTTAGGTTTTCACATACCTAGAAAAATATCTAAAAAGACCCATAGCAAACTATAAATGATAATTATCTCTGGGGAGTAAGAGGCAGTAAGTAGGAAAGAAAATGTGTATTCTTTTATTTGATAAACCAAACCAGCCCACTGCCGTTGAGTCAGTCCTGACTCAAAGTGACCCCCATTGGGTTTCCGAGGTGGTAAATCTTTACGGAAGTAGATTGCCCAGTCTTGCTTCCACGGAGTGGCTGGTAGGTTTGAACTGCCAGCCCTCTGATTACTTTATACCTATTATAAAAAGCATGCACAGATTTTGTAATTAAAAAAACTTTTTTAAAATCTCATCTAAAGAAAAGCAGTGATATAAGTTCTGATAAATAGGCTTGCACTCTGACCTTTCATTGAGCGTGGGGAACTTTGAGAAGATGGAAGAAAGTATAGAGAACGTAATGTTAAAATGTGAATGTCCTCCTCATAAACTGCTCTCCAGGCCTTACTGACTCATGGGCCTCAGAACCTAAGAGTCCCATCAGGTTTGTGCTACCTCTGAAGGAGTGTGGCTCTTGAAGTAACTGAAAAGGGTCCCTCTCTCCACTAGAGTTTTTAGAGAATTCAAGTGAGAAGGAGATATGAGCACTTCTTTTCTTCTAAATTTATTTTTTGACTAGGTAATGTAGACACATACCTTAAAATCTAGAAGGTACAAAAGAGCATATAGCAAAAAGTCTCTCTCCCAGGTCCAGCCCTGAGTGTTTCTTCCCCTGGAAAGAAAATGTTTTCAGTTTCTTATGCTTCCTTTACGAGAAGCGTATACGGTTTTGTTTTTGCATTTAACATGTATCTTGGTGTCTTAGTTTCTTAGTGCTACTATCACAAAAATACTCCAAGTGGGTGGCTTTAATGAACAGAAACTTATTTTCTCACAGTTTAGGAGGCTAGAAGTCTGAATTCAGGATGCTGGCTCTAGGGAAGGGTTCTCTCTGTCAGGTCTGGGGAAAAATCCTTGTCTCCCTCAGCTTCTCTTCCTTGGTTCTGGGTGATCTCCACATGGCATCAGTCTTTCTCCATTTGTGCTCCCTTGCTTCTGTGCTCAAACTGCTCTTTTATATCTCAAAAGTGATTGGCTTAAGATACACTCAACACTGATATGACCTCATTAACATAACAGAGAAATCTCTCCTTCCAAATGGGATTAAATCCACAAGTTATGAGGGTGAGGATTTATAACACATAATTTTGGGGGGCAAAATTCAGTCCATAACACTTGGAGTGCATAATGTATTCAAGCTCCATCTGTTTTGTAGCCTGTATCAGACTTCATTTCTCCTATTGGCTGAGTAATATTCCATTGTATGTTTGTACCACATTATGTTTATCCATTCATCTGTTAATGGGCATTTAGGTTGTTTCCACCTTTTGGCTGTTGTGAATAGTGCTGCAATGAACATTGGTACACAAATATCTCTTGGAGTCTCTGCTTTCCATGATCTCCTTTAATCTTCCCACCCTGAGAGCAGATATGTAAATCCATTTTACTGAGGCTTAGAGAGGTTAAGTGACTTGCTGGAGATAATCTAACAGTTAATAACTGATGAAACTGGGACTTAGACCCCAGACTTTCTGCTCTATCCAGTTGTTTCACAGCATTTGGCCTTATCTACTTGGATCTTTCTTTTGTATCAGAGCTGATGACTGGAAGAGCCACAGAAAGTGGTGGCTTGCTCTGATTCTCTGCTTAAATTCCTTGTACCTTTCATTCTAAGAAGGAGCTCTGGTGGCACTGTGGTTTAGGCATTGGGCTGCTAACCAAAAGGTTGGAGGAAAAAGATGAGGCAATCTGCTGTCATAAAGATTTACAGCCTTGGCAAGAAAGGGAAATCAAAGGCATCCAAATTGGTAAGGAAGAAGTCAAACTAT